TGGCTTGTGTAGTGTTGTTAGGATTTAGAATAAGTTTGAATACAATGAATTTGATTGATTACAAGTGATAGAGATGCATAAAGAGTGTTTAGAAGTGTGGAGAAAGGCTTGTTGAAATTTGGTCCCAAATGGGCTAAGAACCCACAAACAAGTCTTTGAAGTAGTAAATGGCTTGTATAGTGTTGTTTGGGGTTAGAATATATCTAATAAAATGAATTTTGATTGGTAACAAGTTCTAGAGATGCATGAAGAGTATTTAGAAGTGTGTAGAAAGACTTGCTGAAATTTGGTCCCGAATGTGCTAAGCACCAACAAACATTGCTTTAAAGCAGTAAATGGCTTGTCTAGTGTTGTTTGGGTTAGAATATGTTAGAATACAATTAATTTGATTGATTACAAGTGCTAGAGATGCATGAAGAGTTTTTAGAATTGTGTAGAAAGGCTTGCTGAAATTTGGTCCGAAATGGGCTAAGAACCCACAAACATTGCTTTAAAGCTGTAAATGGCTTGTCTAGTGTTGTTTGGGTTAGAATATGTTAGAATACAATGAATTTGATTGATTGCCAATTCTAGAGATGCATGAAGAGTGTTTAGAAGTGTGTAGAAAGACATGCTGAAATTTGGTCCGAAATGGGCTAAAACTCAGAAAAATTGCATTGAACCACTAAATGGTTTGTCTAGTGTTGTTTGGGGTTAGAATATGTTAGAATACAATGAATTTGATTGATTACAAGTGCTAGAGATGTATGAATAGTGTTTAGAAGTGTGGAGAAAGACTTGTTGAAATTTGGTCCCAAATTGGCTAAGAACTCAGAAACATAGCATTGAACAACTAAATGGTTTGTCTAGTGTTGTTTGGGATTAGAATAGGGAAAAATGTTATAAAAAGCCCCAACTTTCCATTTCTGTCCATTTTAAGCCTCAACTATCGCGGTGGCCATTCAAAACCCTCACTTCTCGTTGACGTTGTTTTGAAACCACCAAATTCTGTTGACCTAGCCATATTATACATGTCGTTAAATTCTTTAACAGACGACTTAACAGCCGTTTAAAACCGTTTAACGATCTTTGTTAACTTAAAACGACGACGTTTTGGTTTATAAAAACTCAATCGAGAAAGAGAGAAAACGACGCCGTTTTGAGACAATGAAAACTCTTTAATCGATTTCCCCCAAATCCACTAACCCTAATTTTTTCATTTCATCGTTTATCTTCTCTTCATGCTTTGATTCTCTCTTCAATCCTTAATTTCGATATGAGTTTGATTCAACCCAATCATGACGACTCAGAGATTGGTCCGAGTAGAGAAGGAGTGGAAGCGCCACCACGAGAAGAAAGGGAGAGTGAACCAGACGGCGAACAAGACGGCGATGGAGTTCAAGCGCCACCGCGAGAATAAAGGGAGAGTGAACCAGACGGCAAACCAGACGGCGATGGAGTTCAAGCGCCACTGCGAACCAAACTTGAGAGTGTAATAGATGAAGTTATCCGAGATCAAACTCAAGCGGAGCAAGGCGAAAGACATTCAATTGTCCCAGATGATGTATATTTTTCAACGAGTGGTGCTGCAGGTCGAGGTTCGGGTCGAGCTTCTGGTGGAGCTTCTTCACGTCGGAGGAAGAGAAAGAGAAAGAGAAATAGAAGTGAAGAAGATGAGTTTGAGGCTCCGGTAGAAGAACCCCCAATTGTTGATAGTGAGGATGATTGTGCAGTGTATGGTGACAACGATATGGATAAGGATGATGAAGGAGGTGAAGATAATCCTACAAATGAAGCTGACAATGGTGTAGGTGTTGAAGAAGATGGTAACCTCAACATTTAGGACGACTTCCCAGAGGCTGTTCGAGCAGATGATTAAGCTGGATCCGATGATGAGAGTGGTGATGATATTTGGGATGAAGATAGGATTCCAGATCCTCTGTCTGATGATGAAGAAGACCATGAAGACATAGAGAACGAGGATGGATATGTAGCTCCTAGAGATGTTGAAGATCCAGAGGGTTTGCTTGCTTTGGAGAAGACTTTCAAGTCTTCAGAAGACTTCAAGCTTGCAGTCTTAAGGTACTCCTTAAAGACTAGGTATGGCATTAAATTATATAGGTCTCAAGCTCTGAAGGTTGGTGCAAAATGTTGTTATGTTGATGAGGATGGGATTAAATGTCCTTGGAGAGTCTCTTGCTCATATGAGAGGAGGAAACATAAGATGCAAATCAAGGTTTATATCAATGAGCATAGATGTGTTAGGTCAAGGTATACAAAGATGTTGAAGCGGTCTTCTATTGCTTATTTGTTTGAGGAAAGGCTCAGATTGAATCGCAAGATTACCATGAATGAGATGGTTGCTGAGATTAAACGAGAGTACAACTTTGAAGTGACTCCAGATCAGTGTGCGAAGGCGAAGACCAAGGTTCTACATAGTTTTAGGGCGAGCCATGAGTCACAGTTTGAAAGAATATGGGATTATCAAGCTGAGGTATTAAAGCAAAATCCAAACTCCGAGTTTGAGATAGAGACAGTACCGGGGCCAGTAATTGGAAGCAAGCAGAGGTTTTATCGTCTCTATATTTGTTTCAAATCACAGAAAGAGAGCTGGAAACAAACTTGTAGACTGATAATAGGATTAGATGGAGCCGTTCTGAAATGGGATATAAAAGGGCACCTTTTATCTGCAGTTGGAAGAGATGGGGATAATAGAATTGTTCCTATTGCTTTGGCGATTGTAGAAATAGAAAATGATGATAACTAGGAATGGTTTGTGAAGAATCTCTCTAAGAGTTTGGGTCTTTGCACAATGACAGATCTAGCTATCATTTCTGATAAACAACAGGTAAGTGATTTCATTATTGACTTCTTTTTTTATGTTTCAGGTTTCTTTGATAAAAATGACAAGTATGATTATGATTGTCATTGTTTTGCAGGGCCTAGTGAAAGCTATACATGGAGTACTTCCAAATGCTGAGCATCGACAGTGTGCAAAACATATCATGGAGAATTGGAAGAAGGACAGCCATGATATGGAACTTCAACGCCTGTTTTGGAAGATAGCTAGGGCTTATACCATAGGAGAGTTCAATGCCCGCATGGAAGCTCTTAAACAGTACAATCCGCTAGCTTACACTTCTCTACAAGTTACTAATCCGCAAACTTGGTCTAGAGCTTTCTTTAGAGTTGGTACTTGCTGCAATGATAACCTCAACAATCTTAGTGAGTCTTGTAATAGGACTATTAGACAAGCTAGGAGGAAGCCTTTGCTAGATTTTCTAGAGGACATCCGGAGGCAATGCATGGTCAGAAATGCAAAGAGATTTATAATTGCAAACAGGCTGAAGACAAGGTTTACAAAGAGAGCTCATTGTGAAATTGAGAAGATGATAGCTGGGGCAGGAAATTGTTCAAGATACTTGGCCATAAACAACTTCCATGAGATAGATGAGAATGATGTTACTTATTCTGTTGATATGGACAAGCGTACTTGTGGTTGCAGGAAATGGCAGATGGTTGGAATCACATGTATTCATGCTGCAAGTGTGATAATTGGAGAAAGGGAGAAGGTTGAGAACTATGTTGTTGAGTATTACACACAGAAGAGGTGGGTAGAGACATATAGAGATGGTATTAGGCCTGTCCAAGGGATGCCTTTGTGGCCTAGAATGAATAGGTTGCCTGTTTTGCCACCATCATGGAGAAGAGGTAATCCGGGAAGACCTTCTACCTATGCTAGGAGGAAAGGTCGAAATGAATCTTCCTCTTCTTCAACAAACAAGATGTCAAGGGCAAAGAGGGTGATGACATGTTCTAACTACAAAGAAGAAGGTCACAACAAGGCTGGTTGTAAACATCCAACAGTTGCGAATCCACCAAAGAGACCAAGAGGTTGACCAAAGAAATATGAAGAAGTAGAAGCTTCACAAGGAGATGGTTCACAAGCTTCACAAGGGCAAGGAGCATCACAACCTCAAAGAGCATCACAACCTCAAAGAGCATCACAACCTCCTAGAGCATTGCAAAGACAACCTCCTAGAGCACCACAAAGACAACCTCCTAGAGCATCACAAACAGAAGTTCAGGGATCACAACCCCAAGGAGAATCACAAGGAGAGCATCACGGATCACAACCCCAAGGAGAATCACAAGGAGAACCTCAAGGACTTGCTCGATTTGCTTCATGGTTTGAGTGTTCACAACCTCAAGGTCACGGTTCCACCTAGATTTGTGTTCTCTTGTTACCTAATATATGTTGTATGGTTTTCTCTGAACTTAAGTAATCTATGTTGCCTTGTTTTTTAAAATTTCTTGAACTTAAAGAACCTACTCTGTGTATGGTGTTCTCTTCTTTTAGGTCTTGTCTTCTTTGAACTTAAAAACCTAATCTATGTATGGTGTTCTCTTCTTTTAGGTCTTGTCTGCTTTTAATCAATCTTATGTTTAGTCCATTACCTTAGCATTCAATACCAAAGCAAAGAAAGTAGCATTTCATTACAAACGTTAAGAGACAATACACTCTAATAACCAAGAAATTTTTTTTGTTTCCTTGTTTTACAAAACATTACGATCACGACAATGACAGTAACACAAACGCACACCAAGCACAATTTGCTAAACAATTTCCATATCTTGATTTCTAGTCTGCTCCACATACCATCAGCCTTCAATCCATCGATCATACTCTTTAACCCTTCTATCTCGACATCAACCTCATCTTTAGCATTGTTTAACTCGTTTTCAATCATGCTTAATTTTGGTAATGCATCTGAAACCTCCTCATACACACCATCTTCAACCCATTTGAACAGATGATCCTACAAATGCAAACATCAAAATGACAATTACACATAACATTTATAAAATCAGAATTAATTACATCTCCTTTAGTTGGAAAACGGAAGAAAGGTCTTCCTGGGTTCTGTTTCGTGGTCGAGGTAAAAATGACCACATATAACCCGCAGTGACACTTTGAAGGAAATCCGCAACCTCCTTTCCTTCCACTCGATTCTCCAGCTTTGCAACTCATCACGAACAGAGAAGATGAAATAGATGATGACAAATGATGACAAATGAAATGATTAAGGAGAAGATAAGGAGAAGATAAAGGAGAGGCGAGTTTCAAATTGGGGTAAAAGAGAACTAGGGATTTCGTTTTTCGATTTTGGGATTTTGCAGGTTCGTTAATTCCAAAACGTAGTCGTTTTGAGTACACAGAGATCGTTAATTGGTTTTAAACGGATGTTAAGTTGTCTGTTAAAGGATTTAACGACATGTATAATATGGCTCGTCAACAGAAGTTGGTGATTTCAAAACAACGTCAACGAGAAGTCGGGGTTTTAAATGGCCACCGCGATAGTTGAGGCTTAAAATGGCCATAACTGGTAAGTTGGGGATTTTTATAACATTTTCCCGATTAGAATATGTTAGAATACATTGAATGTGATTGATTACAAGTTCTAGAGATGCATGAATAGTGTTTAGAAGTGTGGAGAAAGACTTGTTGAAATTTGGTCCCAAATGGGCTAAGAACCGACAAACAAGTCTTTGAAGTAGTAAATGGATTGTCTAGTGTTGTTGGGGTTTAGAATATGTTAGAATACAATGAATTTGATTGATTACAAGTGCTAGAGATGCATGAAGAGTGTCTAGAAGTGTGGACAAAGACTTGTTGAAATTTTGTCCCAAATGGATTAAGAACCCACAAACATGTCTTTGAAACAGTAAATGGCTTGTCTCGTGTTGTTAGGATTTATAATAAGTTTGAATATAATTAATTTGATTGATTACAAGTGCTAGTAATGCATGAAGAGTGTTTAGAAGTGTGGAGAAAGACTTGTTGAAATTTGGTCCCAAATGGGCTAAGAACCCACAAAAAGGTCTTTGAAGCAGTAAATGACTTGTCTAGTGTTGTTGGGGTTTAGAATATGTTAGAATACAATTAATTTGATTGATTACAAGTGCTAGAGATGCATGAAGAGTGCATAGAAGTGTGTAGAAAAATTTGTTGAAATTTGGTCCGAAAAGGGCTAAGCACCCACAAACATTGCTTAGAAGCATTAAATGGCTTGTTTATTGGTTAGAATATGTTAATAAATTTGATATATTACAAGTGCTAGAGATGCATGAAGAATGTTTATAAGTGTGGAGAATCACTTGTTGAAATTTGGTCCCAAATGGGCTAAGAACTCAGAAACATTGCATTGAACCACTAAATGGTTTGGCTAGTGTTGTTTGAGATTATAATATGTTAGATTAGAATGAATATGATTGATTACAAGTGCTAGAGATGCATGAATAGTGTTTAGAAGTGTAGAAAAAGACTTGTTGAAATTTGGTCCCAAATGGGCAAAGAACCCACAAACATGTCTTTGAATCAGTAAATGGTTTGTCTAGTGTTGTTAGGGCTTAGAATATGTTAGAATGTAATGAATTTGATTGATTACAAGTGCTAGAGATGCATGAAGAATGCTTAGAAGTGTGTAGAAAAACTTGCTGAAATTTGGTCCGGAATGGGCTAAGCAGCCACAAACATTGTTTTGAAGCATTTAATGGCTTGTCTAGTGTTTCTTGGGGTTAGAATATGTTAGAATACAATAAATATGATTGATT